GCACCATCGCCAGCCTGCGGGACACGAGCGCCGTGAGGCGGGAGCGGGGACGGAGCGGGGACCCCGCCCGGGATGGGGGTGGAGCGGGGGGTGCAGCGGCCCTGCCGGGGCTCAGAGGTGGAGCGGGGGGAGAGGGGGGGGGTGAAGCGGCCCTGCCGGGGCTCGGGGATGGAGCGGAAGCCCCAGGCCTGGAGCGGGGGAGGAGCGGGCCCGGCCTGGCCCTGCCCGGTGTCGCGGGGCGGCCGCAGGACTGACCTGGAACCGCCGCTACCCGTTCCAATGGCGGCGCCGCAACGGCCGTGGTTCAAACCGGGCCGCGCGCCGGCACGGCCAATCACCGAGCGGTGAGGCAGGAGGGGAGAAGCCTTGGCCAATCGTGAAGCCGAACGTCACCGAGGGGCGGGACTACAGCCAATCACATAGCGGTACGTCAGATGAGGCGGGATCAACCGCGTGTGGGGGTGGGATAGCGCGGGGGCGGGGCGAAGGGCGGGGCAGAACCAATGGCGTGCGGGTGCGTCATGCGGGAGGCGGGGCGAAGGTCTGGTCGCAGCCAATCGCAGCCCGGTGCGTCGCTCCCGGGGCGCGTCCCGGCGGTGGCGGAGCGGCAGCATGGAGGGCCGGGTGCCCTACGATGACTTCCCGGTGGTTTTCCTGCCGCCCTACGAGAGCCCGCCCGCCTGGGTCCCGCCGCACGAGGTCAGCCCGGCACGGGGGGAGCGGGGGGACGGCCCGGGGGTGGCAGCGGCGGCCGCGGGGCCCCGCCGGGTAGGGGAGCCCGGCCCGGCCCCGGCTGAGCCGCCGCGCGTCCCCCGCAGCGCTTGTATCACCCCGACTACAACAACGAGCTCACGCAGTTCCTGCCCCGCACCATCGTCCTCAAGAAGCCGCCCGGGGCGCAGGTGAGGCGGGCGGCGTCGGCGCGGTGTTGTCTGGGCGCGGTGTCGCGTTCCCGGCCGCGTTTCCTGGCAATAAAAAGGCGCTGGGATTGCGATATTCCCGACTGGCAGCGTCCTGGCACAGGGAACTGCTGTGACAGGCGTGGGAGATTCCAGGGCGGTGGGCAAGGGGAGGGGTTGTTCCCGGTGTGATGTTTTGGGATGTGGAGATGCTGTAGAGTGGGAGAGCGGCCCCCTCGGGTATTCCTGGTGGCAGGAATTAGGGGAGAGGGGCTGGTGCCTCTCCCTGGCCGAGCACCACACCCACGCCTTGGATCCAGCCGGGAGACAGAGCAGGGAAGCGGCTCTTGGGGAATTGGAAGGGCCCTGGGCAGGGAGAAGAGTCCTGGGGAATGAAAAAAGAACTGGGCTAAGGGAAGGATCCTGGTGACTGCATTTCCCTGCTGGTTTTTTCCACAGCTGGGCTTCAATATCCGGGGAGGAAAAGCCTCGCAGCTGGGAATCTTCATCTCCAAGGTGTGTCCGTCCTTGTGCCATTCCCGGATCCTGCCTGTGCCGGTGGGAGCAGCTGAGCCGGGCGGGTGTGCAGGGAGGCTCTGCTGCCTCACAGCCCCCGAGCTCGGGGCTCACAACATCCTCAGAACATCCTGCACCACTCCCTGATCTCTTCCCAGCCCCTGGAATTGCTCCTCGGGGCAGTGTGGGAGGGGAGCTGTGGCAGATCCAGGGCTGCCATCCCTGCTCTCCCTTCCCAGGTGATTCCCGACTCGGATGCTCACAGGGCCGGGCTGCAGGAGGGGGATCAGGTGCTCTCAGTGAACGATGTGGATTTCCAGGACATTGAGCACAGCAAGGTGAGTGCTGGGATGGGGAATCCACCTCCTTCCAGCCTCTCAGCCCAGCACAGAAGCCATGAATTCTCTTTCCTTGTTTTCCAGGCCGTGGAGATCCTGAAGACGGCGCGGGAGATCACGATGCGTGTCCGGTACTTCCCCTACAGTGAGTGCCCAGTCCTGGAATGCTCCTTGGGAAGCAAACTTCCATAAATCCCTGCCCATTCCAGCCCAGTTTAACAGCTCAAGGTCACTGACTGCTGATTTGGCACCACATCAGGATAATGAGGCCTGGCTTCATCTGCCCATATAGGAAAACTTGGAGAGCAGGAAGGTGGGATGGTTGGAAAAGTTAATTTAGAGCTCATAAATTTAAGCTAATTATCCTTGAATAACGTAGGAAGGAGCTCTGGCACAAGTGCCAATGGTGAATATCCCTCACTAAGGATATTTGAATTGTGAGTGAAGGGAAGGACTGGATTAACTCCCAGTTTCTGCTTCTGCAGTCATATAGTTCCAAGATTTAAGGGATAAAAAAAAGGGAGAACTCAAGGCAAACAAGAATTCTTCATAAAATGGAAAGTGGTCATTAAGAAGACAAAAAAAAAACCAAAAAAACCGGGGAAGAGGGGGTTTCCATCAAATAATTTCAAACAAAACATTTTGTTCTAAGTGCCCTAAAACCACTTGAAATGACTGGTGGAGGTGCACTTTTAAATCCAGGGGGGTCTCAAACACTGCCTCCACTTGGGAATGTGTGTTTTCCCGAACATTTTGGGTAATTTCCCCTGGCCATCTTCTCCTTGTCCCTCCCTCCCAGATTACCAGCGGCAGAAGGAACGGACAGTTCACTAACAGGGAGCTTCATCCTGCCAAAACCTCTCCACTCCTCTTTCCCAACGTCTGAGATGACTCCTCACGTTTCAGCTTTCACTGGAGGCACCACTGTCCTGCACAGGATCAGCTCTTTCCCAAGTGGAGAGATGCCAAGGGGCTCATTTGGCTGGAAGATGGATGGGGATTGAGGCTGTGCTCCTTGGGAATGGGTGTTGGGAAAAGCTGGTGTGAAGTCCTGGGGGGCAGCTGCTCCAGCAGCATCAAGATTTTAGCAAAACTTAAATTAAGTGAGTTCTGGGCTGGTTCTGGATCCCTTGATCCTGGATCCTGGTTGTTGAGCATTCCTGAGCAGAGCACAGGCATTGTCCTCCAGGAAATTCACCTGTTCCACTCTCTTGTGCCATGGAATTCTTTCCTTCTCCTGTATCCCACCTCTGCTCTGCATTGCTGGGTTTGCTGGGAACTCCAGGAGTAAAATCCAGCCCCAGTTTGTGCACAGCTCTGGCTGTTTGTGCCACTTTGCTGATAAAACCCCCACAATATAAGGCTGGGATGTTTGGAAACATTAATTACCAAGGAAACATATTAATTATCAGCAAATCCAGGGGCAAATGCCTGGTGGGATCACGTTGTAATGACTTCAGGACAGCCCTGGCTCTGGCCTTCTCTTCCTTGTGGTGTTTTCCACTTTTTCTGTAAAAACAATCAATAAATCAAGTACAGCAGCCTGAATTCACCTTATTCCCACTCAGGAAGTCTGTGTGGAGGTTGGGATGTACCCACCATGAGCACCATTCAAAGGAAATGCTGGGACAAGGCTCAGCTCCTGTCACCCTTGCAGCCTGCAGAAGAAAATTTGGGATCTGCAGCTGTGTCTGGTGCTTTTTCCACTGGCTCGCTGGAAATCAGCCCCTGATTAACCTGGAGTGTGTTCCAGCACTGCCAGGAAGGAACAAGGCAGGATTTTGGCTGTGGTGGCACCAGCACAACTCCAGCAGCAGAGCAGGACACTGAGCCAGGCTGGGAGTGAAGAAAAGACTGGAAAAGTGATTTTCACTCGGAATTAAAAATGAGCCTTTCCACCAGGGGAATGAACATCCTGGAAGCCCTGGAAGGGGAAGGAGACCTCTTGTATCTCCTTTCTGGTCTCACACTGGTTTTCTAGAATCTCCATGTTCCATAGGGAAAGAGAAGCTCTCTCCACAGGGAGTTGCAGATACAATGTCAGCGTTGATTTTGTCCCTCCTCCTTCAGAGCATTCCCTGGCAGCAGCTCCAGGAAGGTCTGTCCTGCCCCGGGCAGTTCTTCCCAGGGAATGACTCAGGTGTTTTCCTGCTGACCTGGCTGACAGGAAAGAGTGGATTCTTTCCCGAGGCACATTAATGTCTTGGGTATGTTAATTAGCAAAGCATTAAGGCCACCAGGGTCCATTTCATCCTCCAGAATGAAGGAGGATTTCACACATTCCTGGTGTGAAAACAACAGCTCCAGCAACATTAGATTTTTTTAGTGACTGACAAAACTGAGCTGAGAGGCACAAATAGATAAAATCATGGAATAGTTTGGGTTGGAGAGAACCTTAAAAATCATCCAGTGCCAAGCCCAGCCATGGGCAAGGACATCTCTCCACTATCCCAGGTTGCTCCAAGCTCTGTCCAACCTGGCCTTGGACACTTGCAGGGATGAAGGGAGCACTGCCAGGGGCTCAGTGCTGGCACAAGTCCTGCAGGTCCTTCTGGAGCAGCAGGATCAGTCCCAGGTGTGTTGCAGGGCAGGGCTCAACTGAGGGCTCCAGGAGCTCCTGGCTCCATTGAGTCATGTTTGGATCCATGTTTTGTTGTTATCCCAAAATAGGGATCCTTCCTCCCAAGCTTGGTAACCTTCCCCCGGGGCTGAGATCATTGACCCAGCCCTAACCCTCAATGAGACAATTCCACCCACAAGTCACTTGTCCTTCCAACGCCTGGACATCACTTCCAGCTTGTTGGCTGCTCAGTTTCTTGGATTAAGTATCCTTTTTTTGCTGATTAAACTTGAAAGTAACAAATATCAAACGTCAAAGAGACTTCCTGAGAAAATTGTTACAATTTCCATTTTGCAACAATGTCAGCAAAGTCCTTTCTTCTCCTCCTCCTCAGTCCTTCCCCCTCCTTTCTCGTCCTCTGTCCCTCCTTCTGCTCCATTCTTCCTCCCTCCTGTCCTTCCTCCTCTATCTCCTTCATGCCTCCTTCTCCATTCTTCCTCCTCCTCTTCCTCCATTCTTCCTCGTCTTCCTCCTCCTCTGTCCTTCCTTTCGCCTCCATCCCTTCTCATACTCCTCCATCCTTCCTCCTCCACTCCTCCTCCTCCATCCCTACTCAGGACAGGAATGTCACACCTCGGAGCAAACCCCTTGTAGCCCCCAGCCCGGTGTGGCAGCAGGAGAGCTCAGTGTTGGTGAAATAACTTTATTTATTTAGTGATACACTGTGGCTGTGTCACACAGTCCTTACTCAGAGTTACAGTCACACTTACTCGCTACAGCTACAAGACAGCAGGGCCGGACACACGGCAGGAACACATCCAGAAAAACAGTGGGAAGGGAACTATGGGATTCCACTAATTACCCCCCACCCCTTAATTGGGGTCACCCCCCTCCCGCCCCGGTCCGTGACTCGAACAACACGAAGGGACAGCAGAGCTGCCTGTGAGGAGGGACAGCAACACCTGTTCTACAGACACGGACACTGACACCAGCAATTCCCACTATGGGCTATGTACAGGGAATGGGAGCAGCTTCCCGAGGGGCAGGGAATCAATGGGGACTCACATCCCAGCTTCCTCCTGCAGCCAGCTTGCCCCAAGGGGAAGGGACTCTGGGGACCTTGGTGACGTGCTGCCAGCCCAGGGCTGTCCCTTCCCCTCCTCAGGTGTCAGGGAGTGAGGGACACCCTGCCAGGGGAGGGGAGGGTGTGTCACTGACCACCCCCACCGTGGTCACTGTCCTACCACAGCATCCTCCGTGTCACACAGGCCAGGTGGGGAAAGGACAGTGCAATTCTCCTCTCTGCCAACTGACAAACCAACTTTTTGTGGATCCAAACCCCCAGGAAATCTCTGAAAAGCTCTACGAATTAATTCCAAACCAGAGGCTGGGGGAAAGGAGGCAGTTCCCAACCTCCAAGGTTGGAGAGTGACACCAGAATTCCGTTCAGCAGCATCCAGTCCTCTAATCCTCCACCCCCTGTGACAGAACTCACTGCCACTGCTCCCCTCAGCTTTGGCAAAGGTAAAAACTCCCCCAGGAGTGAAATGGCTGCTGGTCCCACCCCAGAGCTCTGCTCCAAGGACAGAGGCAATGGGAATGATTCCATCAAGCAGCAACCTGGCAATGAGAGTGGAATGTTGCCCTTCCCTCTGCTGTGGCTCTCCTGCTCCACAGGAAGCAGCTCCCGTGATGAGGAACAGGAGAATGGAGATCAGGGAAGGAGCCTGAGGAGCATCCATGACTCCCAGGGCAGGTATTGCCCCTGCAGTGATGGATTCCAGGTCACTGTTTACTTCCAGAATCCCTGAGGATCTCTCCCCACCCAGCCTGGGGCTGCAAAGCCTCTGTCCCCTCCTCCTCCCCCACGTCTGCAGCCAACACTCACCAACATCCTCTGGATGGGGAGATTCCAGCCGTGGGGAGCAGGCTCTGGGATGTCCCTGCCACACAAATGGGAGCAACAAGGCCAAAGCTCTCAGAGTCTGGGGCTTTGCAGGGCCCTGTGTGACTCAAGGGGCAAAACTGGGAAGTTGAGAGCAAGAGTTAGCCAGGATCATCCACAGAAAGGAGAAACCAGGGAGCTCATGGGGTGTGTGCCCTGTGGGAAGCAAAGCCTGGGAACAGGGAACCTGCAGAGTCCAAAAAGGCAAGTCCAAGTGACTGGTTGAAGTTTAAGGAGCAGCCTTTTACCAGAGGAAGTGGGGATACAGGACAGGAGGCTGGAGAAGGCAGGGGGAGGATGCAAGGCAGGAGGGAAGGTGGAAAACCCACCCTCCAAAGCTTCATTTTTGTCTTCCCTAACTCGGCAGCTTTTCCATGGCATTCACAAGATACATCTGAGCAGGGAGGCTCCAGGTGGGAACAGGGGGAGAAAGGGAGGAAGAGAGAGAGAGAAAGAGAGAGAGAGTGTGAAGGGCACCGTGGTGCCAAAGTGCAACAACATAAAAAAATAAACTCAAAAGACAGGACACTCATTCTGCACTCAGGGCTCAAACCATGCAGTGAGAGGGGCGGCCGGGGCTGCTCCCCACCAGTACACAGGGATTCTCTCTTGAGGAATGGTTTTCCAGCCCCAGAGGGGTGGCAATGAGCAGGATGTTCTCCAGGAGCCCGGCCAGGGAGGTGCTGCTGGCAGGGGCTGTTAGCAGGAGCACCCACTCTCCGTGACTGGCTGCTCGGGGGGCTTCTCTAGTTTGATGTCAATCACTGCAGGGACAGTCAAGGAATCACCTAGAACAGGATCTGGAAGGGTTGGTTGGTGTCTCTCCAGGGCCTGCCTGCACTGGGGAACTGCAAAGCCACGGACATGGTGACATCTTGCAGAGGATTGACAGAAAGAGTTTTAAAGCTGTGGAAATTCCAGCCTCAGTTCAAATGGAGAAGCAAAACTTGTGCTGGACATTAGCTGTGTACATTTGTATCTGGCCCACAAATGGGGTCATACAATCCCAGGATGGCTTGGGTTGGAGGGGACATTAAAGATCACTCAGTGCCACCCCCTGCCATGGGCAGGGACACCACCCACTCTCCCAAGGTGCTCCAAGCCCCATCCAACCTGGCCTTGGGACACTTCCAGGGATCCAGGAGCAGCCACAGCTTCTCTGGGCACCCTGTGCCAGGGCCTCACCACCCTCAGAGGGCAGAATTCCTTCCCAATATCCCACCTAACCCTGCCCTCTGGCAGTGGGAAGCCATTCCCCCTTGCCCTGTCACTCCAAGCCATTTTTCTTTTTGGCTTCTTCTTTTTGAAGGCCCAACTTAGGTCACCCCAAAGCTTCTCTTTTCCAGCTTGAACAATCCCAATTCTCCCAACCTTTCCTCATGGCAGAGCTGCTCCATCCCTCTGCTCACACTCCAACAGCTACATCCCTGCAAAACCCCAGTAAAGCTGTAAATGTGCCAAAGAAAGTGAGTAAGCTCAGTTTAACACCACATAACTGCCCAATTCCATGGGAAAACAAGGATACTGTCTTCTTTGCTCTTCTCTGGTGTGCTGTCCATCCCAGGTAAGGCAGCAGCCACACGGCGGAAAAGCTGGAAAGCAGCAAGAGAGAAGCTCAAAGTTTGTCAGAAAAAAAGTTCTTGTTGCAAACATTGATTTACAGCAGGACTCTGAGTGTGAGTTGTACAAGCTCGTTAAGTGGGTACTTTAGCAGCATAGCAGTGAGCAAAAATGCCATGAGAATTTTATGTAGGAAATTTAACAGGTTTTAAAGAACTTATATTAAAGGACTTATTCAATGCCTACAAAAAATCAGTTTTATTTTACCTGTTCCTGCTCGAAGAGGACATGGAATTGATTGGCAACATTCTTCCAGGGACTCATAGAACTCCCTCCTGCACTCACTAAACATCACTTACCACATCCAGCCTCTGCTTGTGCACACAGGGTGCACATTTGGGGATTTCTGATCACTCAGCTGGCACTGAATATTCCTATGTGGAATAACTGAGCTTTTAGAGCCCAGCCCTTCAGATCAGTCCTGCTGCCAAACAGCCACTCCTCAGCAGAACTGCTGCTTCCAGGGAGCTGCAGTTCCACTGGAAGGATGTGCTGGAGCTGGGAAGGGCTATGAAAACCCGAGAAAACCCAGAAAATGGGTTTGCATCATTCCTCAGTCAATGTCTGGAGCTGACCCTGCTGCCCTCACACAGTGCAGACACTGCCAGGCTGCTGAACTCTGCTGCATCAAACACCAGAGCAATCCCTGCTGCTGCTGATTCCCCTACAGCAGCTCCTCAGCCATCCCTCCAAAGGGTGCTCCTTGCAAAACCAAAGTCCCAGTGAGCTGCTGGGTTTGCAGCCTTCAAATCCCAGCTCTCCCCATGAATATGGGAAAAGAAGGCAACACAAGTCTTCTTGTCTGGGTTCAATCCAAAACAGACACAAAAACCAAGCCCAAAGTCTCCTAATCCCACTGGGAGGTTATACCAAGCTGCTGGTGTGCAGAAAACTCCTGAGGATGTTTCCCAGTTTCCTCCAGAGTTTATTACAAGCTCTGTCATATCCAGAACAATCCCTGAATCAGTGGAGAGGGGAATCACAAGCAAGAGCAAAGGGCACAAGCAGAAATCTGAGAAATTCTGCTTAGAACAAAAATTTAAAGGTTATTTTGCTATTTGGTTGATCCAACACTGCCACCTGGACAGTCTCTATCCTTTGATATTCCAAACTCAGCTGGAGTCAGCTCTGGGCAGCCTGCTCTGAGCAGGAAGGTTGGAAGGGGTGATTTCCAAAGATCTCTTCCAACTTCAATACCCCTAAAATACTTCAAGATTCTCTGGCTGGCAGACACAAGGAAGAGCTTCTAGTCCAGTGCATCAGCAGAAACAATTCTCCCCACTGTGTCAGCAGTGATTTCAGCAAACAGTGCATTGACTGTGAACCAAACCAGACCAAATTCCAGCTGACTGGCTGCACAAAACAATTTTTCTCCTTTCCCACCCCTCAGCACATTCTGGAGGGAGTCCTCCTTTGTTTCCAGGTTTAGTTTTGACAGGGAATCATTGATTCGACAGGACAGGAGCTTGCACTACATAAACCAAGAAACATCTCAGGGGCTGGCATTAAACATGAGGAAATTCCTGCAGGATCACAAAGCCACCCTGGAGCAGCCCCAGAGCAGGGAGCAGGCACAGATTCCTGACTGACAACACAACCTGCATGTACCTGTTTGACATTGTAGCCAGTCTTTGCACTGGTCTCAATGAACATCACATTCAGCTCTTTGGCTCTCTGTTCCCCTTCCTCTGTGGTGATTTGCCTGCACAAGGGACAGAAGGGAGAGTTAGAGATGGCTGGGATTGAGTTGCTGCTCCTCCTTCAAGAGGAGGACCCTTTGAGGCTCCACCACCCCCAAGTCTTTCAGTTTGGAGTGAAACCACCTCAGGAAGCTCCCCAGGGAACCCCTGGAGTTGTGGAAGATGTGCAGAACAGGATGAAGCTTGTGCAGAACATCTCAGCCTCATCCACAGCATTCCAAGGAAGGAAAAATCCCCACACTGAGACAGGGAGTTTCCCAAATCTCACAGGGGGAATGATGTGAGGTGACACAAAGACTCCAGAAAGGCTCCACAGTGCAACAGCCTGGGGACAAGCACCTGGAATTGCCCCTCTGAGCACCACCCTGTGTCCCATTAAATCCTGTTTTAGCACTGCTACCAACACCCAGCACATTCAGCTCTTGGGCTTTTCCCTCACCCTCCTCTACAGAAACCTGTCTCCAGTAATGAGAACAAATCACAGAGCAGAAAATCCAAACCAAATCAAAAGAGTCCAAAAATGAGAGAAAGAAAACTGCAGGGAGAAAAAAAAACAACAAAAAAACCCAGCCACCAACTGAAGCAACATTGAGTGGAATGAAAAACTTGCCAGGCTGCACTGAACAGGAACAGGGCTATTTTTAGTGCAGCTTTTTGGCCTCAGAACTTGTTTCATCCCTGGTTTTTATCAGAGGATGAATGGTTTCCCTGCATTCTGCCTCAAAAAATATGACCTTTGTGACACCAAAGGTGGCTTTGTCCAGCCTTACAGGCCCAGAATTTCAACCTCACACAAATCCAACTTCCTTTGAAAAGAAGAGCAAGGCAGCTCCTGTTACTGACATCTGGATATTCCCTTCCCCATCATTCCAAATCCCAGCCCACACCAGGACTACTGTCACATTCTGCTCCCAAAAATAAGAATTTCCAGTGCTGCATGAACTTCAGCTGTAGCTGCTTCAAACAATTTTCTGGCATTTTTAATTCTTCCAGCTGTTGTGCACCATTAGGAAATACTCCAAGGCTGAAATGATCCCATTGGGCTTTCTAGTTTCACATGAAAACTGGATTTTGAGAGGAATTAGAAATGCCAGGTTATTCAGTCAGGGAGCTGCAGTTATTCCCAGCTCACAGGAAGGCATGGGAGAGGCTCAGTGGTCAAAATCCAGAGCTGGCTCAGGGACAACATCTTGGATTTTGCTTTTGTGAACGATTTCAGGGACAGAACCATGAGCTCATCACACATGGAATTCTTAAGCAAAATGAACTGTACATGTTTTTATTGTATTCCTGAAGCTCTGAGCACCAAGTTTTAGGAATTTTTCCAAAGTCCAAAGCATAGGACGCTTCAAAATGTTTTCCAGTGAAATGGCAAAGTGGAATTTTCCCTGCTTTTCCTGCTGGCCATGAAAACTAAAATCCTGCAGGGCAAACAGCCAGGGATATTGGGGAGGTTGGGACACAAAACCATCAGAATAACAGGAGAAATTCACATCACAACACGTCCTGAAGAAATGTTCAACTGCAGGAGTGAGTAAAGCAGGAGTAAGAATTTAAAATGTGGGAATGCCCCACAAAGGAACACTCAGATCACTCTGCCCATCATCCCAAGAAACAGGGTGAACAATAATATTCAAATAAAAGCCCAGATTTTGCTGAGAAAACATTAATTTTACCTGTAAATTGTTCTCATTTGATCAGAAAAATCTTGTTAACAGCCAAAGGACAAGGATTTGATATTTTAAGGCTTTATTTTGCTGTGAGATCCAGGTGGTTCCCAGTTCTACCTTCCTGAGGTGATTTTCTGTGCATCACATCAAAATCCCCCTGTGGTTTCAAGTCCTCACACATCCCCTGATACCCAAAACCCACATTTCTGAGGTGTGTGAGGATGTTTCATTTGGAAGGGTTGGAACTGCCTGGCTCACTCCATCTTCCTTTTGCCAACTGATTCTGGAACCACCATAAAAATAAAAACCTTCCCTTATCTACACTGCACCTGATACCTTCCTAAGGAACAAAAATCTCTGAAAATATTCAACAAAATTATTGTTAAATCAACAGTCCAGAGAAGGATTTGAAACAGGAACACAAAGTAAAGGTTGTGCTCTTCTAAGAACCCACCACATTGGTTATTTTGGTTGATGTGCTGTAGAATTAAGAGCTTTAAAGCAAAATGCTTTAGGGCACCTCCCAAAACATAAGCCTATGTCATTTAAGGAGTCTAATTAAATTTCTTGGTCTCTCTTTGGCAGAAATTTGGGGTTTGCTGATTTGGTTTCCTTTCACACATCCACAAGCTTGGGAAAATTCATGTTTTTAGATCAATCCTAAAGAAGTTTGTGCTGCATCTGAACGAGGAGAAACTGTCACGAACTTCCAGCTGCACGTGCAGAGAGAGTGAGGGAAATGAGTGGAGAATAGTGAAAATCATCTGATTTCCTTGCTTTTACAGGCAGCTTTTAGCCTTTACCTCAGTATGAAAAGGAAAATCAGACAAAATACCCCACTGAGAAAATGGTGCAGAGCCACTAAAGCAATTTTTTACATGGGTTTGTTTTAAATTATTTGTTGGACAGCAAAGGGAACAACTTTTGCTGAAACCAGAAATGAGGATTTCCTGACAAGTAAAGGATGTTGTGTTTAAACCAAGCCTTGGTTTAAGCCCAGACTGGCCTTGGTGGCTCTGGGCAGGGCAGCAGGGCCCAGTTTCCCCTTTTACCTCTTGTCTGCCAGGTCGGTTTTGTTCCCCACCAACATGATGATGACATCACTGCCTCGCTCTGTCCTGACGTCATCGATCCACTTGGAGGTTTGCTGGAAAGAATTCAAGTCTGCAGGGAAGAATGGAATAGCAAAGCTGAGCATAAAACACCTTTATGACAGAGAAAATGCTTCACTTGTACTCAGAGGCTTCTCCAAACCTCCCCACCACTCATCAATGATTTCCTGCCCAGATGGAAAAACAAGGAAGGGGAGGAAACATTTCTGATTTTAATGATGTTTTTTGCAGAATTTGTGGTTTTAACTTCTCAGTTCTGTTCGTGTGGGGTGTTCCCAACAAGGACACAGCAGAACACCATTCCTCTGTTTTTGGATGGATAGGGATTTGATAAGAAAGTCTCACAGATATGTATGTATAACAGAAATAACTTTGAATGTAGAATCTGAGGAAGGAATAGAAATGAAAGCAAGTTTTGATATAGAAGAAAAGAACTGCTGAGCCAGTTTTACTGGATAACTAGAAGGAAAAGGCTGTGTTAGCATGTGAGTTAGAAGGGGTTTTTATAGCTCAGAGCAAAGGATAAATCCACCTCAAACAAAAGATGTTTTTACCAAGCAAAAAGATTTTCACAGGTAAACAAGAAAGCCAACGTTGCAAGTAAAGAAAAGATCTCAGAATTTTTCACTGCAAGAAAACTGAAAAACAACCTCTAGCTTAAACTGTAACATAATAACCTTTTGTGACTGGAGAATAGTAACATGAATATGGTATTGTAAGTAGCTATGATAGGCTATAGGTAAAAGTATTGATTGGTTATTATATATGAAAAGTATCTAATGCATTGCAACCAGAACTAGAGTCGGCTTCAGACGAGCCTACAGCCGAGGCTGACAAGCTGTGGGCTGGGCTCTTGTCACCCACGACCTGTGAATTGCTGTATCATCTGGATAACAGCAATTTAATAAAAATAAACAGCATTTTAAAGAGCCAGTCTTGTAAGAGCCTGACAGAGAGATGGAGACTTCAGATGGCTCTTAAAATGCTGATTATTGCATAGACAAGGTTCCAGCACTTGGGGGTCGTGGGTGAGCCTAGAGCTGTGTCCTGAAGCCCAGTTCTATTCAGGTTACAAAGTATTTTATCTCTTTCTCTGCTGTGCATCTTATTACATAAAAACCAATCAACATCATACACAATACCTTTTACATTTACATACAACCTATCAAAATTGCTAAAATTACCATATTATGTTAGTGACTAGCCAATCATCTGAGTTAGCAGTTACATGTTAAACTTTGGGACTTGTTTTGCAGTGGAAATTTCTTCCAGCTTTAGTAAAAAACTTCTTTCTGTCTGCCTATGCTTTTTTTGCACGGTAGAAAACATGCCTTATTTGAAGAAGACTTATCATTTTGTTTGAAGGCCACTTAGTCTTTGGACTTTAGTCACAAAACTCCTTCCAACTCGACTAAACCTTTGTTCTTTCAGCTGTTTCAGCAACAACTGGCCCTAAAATCATCTTTTACATGTCAAAACTTGCTTTCATTCCTACAGAACCTTCTGTATAACTGTAAAACTTTTCTGTTAAATTTTCAGTCTGGAGTCCCACATCCCCCATTTAATTTACAGGCTCTTGCAGCCCCAGTGCTGGCACTCACTTGTGATGTCATAGACCACGACGGCGATGGTGGAGTCGCGGATGTAGCTGGGGATGAGGCTGCGGAACCGCTCCTGCCCCGCCGTGTCCCAGAGCTGCAGCCGGACCTGCTGGGGCCAGCCCGGCCCACCAGGGGGACAGGGGAGGGGAGAGAGAGCAGGAAAACCCTTTAGGGAAAAGGTTCCACACCCGAGGTGACCTTGTCAGCTCACCCCAGATCCAACAGCAGAGCAGTTTCCTGGATATTTGTGAATTGCTTTAATTCCTTCCTTTGCTCGCCCGGAGGTGCTGCTATTCCCAAACATCTCTAGGATGTGGCTCCCACCTCATTACTGGGGGTAGCCAACAGGACAGCACTGATCTCCCAGGATTATGGATGGGATCTCCACAGGACTCACAGCCTGCAGCATCTCTGATCAAAGCTTTAGGGGCAATTCCCACAGGACAGACACCACAGAATCCAGCCTCCAGCGTGGAGCACCCATGTGATGGCAGTGGGGATTTTCATGTGGTATTGAAGCAATGAGAACTTCAATTCCAGCAGAAGTGAAAGCAAATGTTACACACTGCAAGGTTCAGGTGGTGCAGAGGACATTGGGTTCTCCCTTCCAGGGCAGCACAGGAGTCATAAAAATGCTGGGGCCAGGTAGAGCTTGACCCCAAACACAAACTGTTATTTTTATATATGATATATTATTATATATGACAGCTTCACGGTCTAGAACCTACCTGGCTGAACCAGCACTGCTCAAAAACTCCCCAAACACCCCAAATAAAAGCCCCACAGTGCCTGAAAACAGGATTACTCCTCATTCCCAACATTTTTATGGAGGCATCCACTGGTTCCCAGTTTATAGCCACAAATTATCCCAGCAGGGAGGCAGAGCACTGGTTAATGAGGCAGCTCATCAAGGAAAAAGCAGCTTTCTCAGGACCAATCACTGCTTGTTTAGAAGAAGAAGATAAACTGATAAAGTACAGGCCTGCAGTCAGATTCAAAACATTTTATCTACATCAGGGAATGTTGAGTTGATGCCCTGGGGCTTAAGGAGGATTAGGGCTTACAGTTAAAGCAATTAGCTCTGGCTTCATTTTGAAGGCAGACTTGATTACAAGAGCAGAAGTCAGGGCTCTTCTCTACCCCAGGAAACTCCAAGTGACAAACTGGCAGCACCTGGGCAGTGTCACAGCAGAGCTGGAAGTTCAGACTGATCCCAACAGCTCCTGGACTTCCCAAACTTCCACACCCTCCCTGTTACACTGGAATATTCACTACGAACATCACCCAGGTGGGGACTGAACCACCCCAAACCTTCAGACTCATAGGCAAAATGCAACTGGAGGAAACACCCACAGAGCTGGCCCAGGTCATTTGTTTAATTCATTAAATTAGTTTAATTAGTTTAAATTAATTATAATATTAATTTCATTTCAACATTATGCGCAGGGTAATGCTCTTTGAGGAAAGATCTCCAGTGAGCAGACACCACACAGGCACCCCTGAAGTGACCCAGGTTTGCTGCATTTCTACAAGTCCAGGTTTGTGTGCACCCATTTCAGAAGGGAAAATACAAATAACCACTGTGGGACACCAGGAATGAGCCCAGCCTCCCTGAGGAAAAACCTTCAGGAGGGGCCTGAGCTGAGTATGGACTCCTCTCATGGATCTCTCCACCTGCATTTGGGACATCCAGCACATCAACAGTAACTAAACAATTTCATTGTGCCCCCAAATCCCTGAGCAAGTCCCTTCTGCAACACACAAAAAAACTTTAAACCTCTCAGTTACTAAGAACAGTGAAAAAATGAAATTATCTTCAAAGATCAGCCTGTTACTAAAGAATCATGAGATCAGCTGTCACTTAATTTCTTCTGACATGGCTGGGAGCTGTTAAGAACAGCCTGGACTGGCAAAATTTTTCCAGCTGCCAGGATAAACAGCATCCTGTACCTGTACAGTGGGAAAAATGATGCCAAGCTGTGCATCCTGCCCTGCTGCCTCAGCCAGGAGAGTCCCCAGCACAGGGCACCACCTGCTCATCTCTGTGCTCCCCAAAGGAAAGTTTGACATCATTTGCACCAAACCAGGAACTCCCCCAAAATTCTCTCCAGCTCCAGGACTGGGAAAAAGACCAGGAAATTATTTGCTCTGAATAGTGAGAATAAAGCACAGCCTATTAACTGTTAAGCACTTCAGCCTAGAAGAGTAAAACAAACTCACTCTCAACTTGCTGTTAACAGAATAAAGCTGGGCCAGAGCTTTTCCACTTCTGCTGTTTACTGACATTTATATAAATCCTGATACTGCAGATTTACAAAACCCCCACCAGATCAAGTGGAATCAATAACAAGGAGTTACAACGAGATAATTCTCTTCATAACTTCCTATCTTGTATTAAAACATTCACGTCAAGAGTTACAGAGAATTTCTCTCTAAGCTTGTTTGTTCTTCAGGAACTGTGGTTGTTGCATCTCTACTCTTTCAAAAGCTCTCTTGTGAGTCTCCAGGTCTCTTTTCCCAAGATGGGACTCTTGAATCCTCCTAAGTCACTCCATAGCTTCTATTTAAAAGGGTCTTGTCCCTCCTAAGTCACTCCACAGCTTCTGCTAAAAAGGGTCTTGTCTTGTTTTACCTATTCTGACAACATTCCTTTGCTTTGGCACCTGAAGCTGTTAGTTGTATAATCTCTCTCCTTACTCAGAAATGAAAAATCATTTTGAAGTTAAAAGAATGAAAAAAACAAAACAGAAAAACAGTAAAGCTTTCCAAAGGCTACCAACAACCAGCACAGACACAGGAATTCCCAATCCCTGCCAACACCCACAGGTGGCTGATGGGCTATTTTAGCTCTTTTTGGCTACCACCACCACTTCCAGAGTAAAGATAGTGTTAAAAGCAAGGCCCCTGCAGACCCTGGGCTCGATACCTACTTGTGATGTCAAAGACAATGAGAGCCACAGCAGAGTCACGGATGGAGCTGGGAATGAGGAACCTCTCCTGGTCCCACAGCTGCAGCCTGATCTGGGAAATGGAAAAGTGTAGGGGAAGGGGAAAGGGAACAGCAGGAAAATGGAGAACAAAACCAAAACTCAAGTGAAATCAAAATAAATAAATAAAAATAAGTTGCAAAGCAAAACTAAAGCAACAAAAGGAAAGTTCAAATGGAACAGAAATGTGAAAAGAGGCAGCGACACTTCCCGAGCTCTGGGAACATCCCTCCCTCCACGTACCCAGGAATATCACACCAGAAACTGGGGGAGCCCTAAATCCCTCCTCACAGCTCCAGCTAAGAAGGGAAATGCACAGCCAGGCCTCAGGGACCCTGCCAGAACAGCCACACAAGCAGCTGGCCAGATGTGGGGCTCCAAAGGACCACCTCAGCCTGCTCTGGATGATCCCACTGGAAAACCAGAGGTAGTGGAACCCCCAACAGCAACCACCCTCCAGGCTGGCCTGTCCTGCACTGCAATCCACCAAGGCTGGGAAGATAAGGACACACAGAGAAGGAAGAGCTCTCAGTCTGTCAGCAATGAGGGCAACTGGCACATGGATGTGGCTGCTGACAGCCAGCACTGAGGATGGGGCTGCTGGTGGCTCCAGCTCGCCTAATGCCACACATCCAAATGCTGGCAATGTCACACAGCTGCCCTTCCTAGGAGATGGTTCTAAAGAACAGAATTCCACACGTGTTTCATGGAATCCCAGAATGGTTTGGGTTGGAAGGGATCTTAGAGCTCATCTCATTCATGGCAGGGACACCTTCCACTATCCCAGCTTGCTCCAAGCCCTGTCCAAGTCAGCCTTGGACACTTCCAGGGATGAGGATCCTTTCTGCTGGCTTGTCCAAGCCATGTTTAGAGCTGAGTGGTGGAGCACAGCTCCAATTTCAGGATACATTATTTGCTGTAAGGCCATATCAAATCCACCAAAGCACACATCCCAGCTGGAGGCTCAGCATTCCTCATTTCCAGCCCCGAAATCAAAGCCTATTGTAAAATCCAGCATTAACCACATCTGAGAAACTATTCCAGTATCTGAATTTTCCCAGCTTGTTTGCTTGTATTTGTCCCTCTTCTTATCTACACTCCACACCTCTGTTATTTGAACAGGCTTTATGGGCTCTGTGGACCACTTACATAATCAGGAAAGCTCACAGCATTCCAACACTGGGAGGAAAATGGGATTTTCTGGATAGCAGGGCAGCAAGTGAATGACATCCTGGCTTACACAATCATGAGAAACCCACACCACTATAATAGCACACAGCAATCCACAGGTGTCAAGCAGCATTCCCAGGATCTTTGCCTTGAACAAAGGTTAAGGAAGGGCTTTTCTAAAAGGGAATTGTGGGTAAAATGGCAGAGAAACTCTCAGGAAGTTCAGCACACACACTGGGAAGAGATTTCTTTGGAAGCAGCAGCCCCAAAGCTCCACACAAGAGTGTTCCCTGCTCCCCACAGCTCTGTCACACTCCTCACACAGCAGTAAAATGGGAAAAAGGCAAATACTGGCAAAACATGAGCAAACCCACAAATACTGAGAGGAAATCCAAGAGAAGGGAGTGAGAGGTTTCTGTGCAAACAGGAATCTCATGCAGGCTAAATCCCAAATTGCTTTATTGCAGTAGGTCAGAGCTGTGTTACCACAGGAGCTTCCTAGGAGGAGGAACGAGGTCTAATCATGAAGGACTTCAAGACATGCAACACCAAATCCTTGGTTTTTTATTGGCTTCGGCAGCTGCACTGGATGAGCCATGTGGGTCCTTTCCAGCTCAGAATATTCTGTGGTACCTGAAATTTGCTCAGCCCTTTCCATCCTAGAGGCAGAAAATCCCAGAGGCAGAGCTGCAAATTCTGGGAGCTAACTGCACCTAAAGCAGGTCCATACAACACCAGCACATTCCCTGGGATGTGGCCATAATCCAGCCCAAATTTCCCATGGAAGGTTTTGATTTCCTGATAGAGGTATCAGATCTTGTGCCAGTGATGAGATTCAACCAAGGTTGGTTCTCTAGAGGCTGCTGGGGGAAGAGCCCTCCCAGCCATCCCACCCCTGCCCCACTCACCGTGCGGTCCTCCAGGTACATTGTTTTGGACAGGAAATCAATTCCAATGGTTGCCTGCAAAGAGGAGAAGCATTAGGAGCTGTGACTTGCCTTCCAGCATCCCCTTTCTGCACAAACTCTCAGAAATGCTCTCAAACCTGTTATGTATCTGGTCAAGTGATCTGCCTTCAATTGAGGTGATAAAAACAAAGCAATCTGGGGATCTGCACCAGCTGCATTTCACAGCATTCTTCAACACTTTTCAGCTCCACAAGAACCTCTGAGTCTGGATTTTAACCTCAGACATTCCTGTATCTCCACACAGATTGTATCTGAGCTGGCAGCTCCTTCTGGCCTGCCCCAGTTCAGTCTGGTAAGGATCATCTTGTTAGAAATATCCAAAAGGCAGAACAAACAAGATCTATAAACTATGGGCAACTGAAAGCTAAGAAGCCACATTCATCCAGGCCTTTCCACTTCAGAATGTGCTTCCCTTCCAGTGACATTCAGCAGTTTCATTTCCCAGGCACGTCTGCATCCACTCCCATTCCCATTGCTACAGCAATTCCAGCACAAAGGCATTTAAAATAATGCACTAAGATAGGTGCACTCCCAGGCACTTCAATCAGGGAACTGTCCCAGCCCATCAGAACCCCAGGAAAAAGGAGGGAGCTCCTGATGTAACACATTTGAGTGTTTTAGGCAAATTATCCCCACTCTTAACACACACAGCTGAATGGGTACCACTGAATAACTGGAAAAGAGCAACACAGTCAGTTTTGGGAGGGAGAATTTATTTCTGGGAGGTCTATTTTCCAACAAGGCCATGGTTTGTAACAACTACAATAAACAATAAATAAATCTATGAGTGGATCTTACAAGAGTCAGGAAAAGAAAGGAAGCATAGGAGAAGAAAAAACACAGGAAGCACAAGAGGATCCAGTTCCAGTGAGTGACTTGTCCTCAACTTCAAATCACGCCAATCTAAACCAGTAACTCTTCCAGGCTGAATTAAAAGATAAAGCCCTAATCTCATCTGCTTTACAGGTATTTGATATTTCCATGAAATACTTCTGAGTGCCTTTGATGCAATTAATTCTTCCCCAAACCTTCAGGCCTCTTACACATCTTTTGCTTTTCATCTGCAGCCTCTTCATCCCCACCCCCCTCTTTGCCTGCCAAGACTTCCCTGGCTTTTCCTATCTTTAGTCCTTTAGTCAAAAAATAGTAATAAAAAAATTGAGAGACAAAATATATCAAGCTGACTTCTGGCAGATCCATCTACACACTCCAGACTCAACTATTCTAACTGAAATGGAAGCTCTAAAGATAACAGAAACCAAGAATGTCACAAGATGTTGGTATTTCATTCATTCTCCATTTCCTGAGGCTCCCATATCCATCACCAGAAATCCTGACCATCATCTTGCCATAAAACAATGTTCTCCCCATTTTCCTCAAGGCTTCTCACAGGATCTATCCCACATCCAAAGGGGATCTAAACCTTCTGCATTTCCTGATATCACACTGGATGCTTTGATTTAATCATGAAGCTTCATCTCCATTTCAGGACACATTTTAACCTCTTATCTGATCTTGAACTGACATCTCATGGAGAAATGGGCTCCCAGGCATCAATTTGAACAGCAGGGCATAGATTTATTCATATAAATTTATTTAAAAAGCAAATAAATACTACCACATACCTGGTAAGTATTGTCAAAACTGTCATACATAAACCTGGTGATCAGGGAGGTCTTCCCAACTACAAGAGAAGAGAAAAATTACTTTCAAGCAGCAGTGGGAAAAAAAAAAAATTAGCACTGCTTTGGGAGTGGCACTGATCTGGCAGCAGCTGCCATCTCAGGCCTTTCCAGCTACACCTTTCTGGGAAATAGCCATCTGGAAATTTCAGTCCCAAAATGACAGAGGCAGATCAATCTCTGCATGGAGAGATTAACCATGGAGATAACCTGGCCCTCAAATCAGGTGTGTTGATAACAAAGAACTGCTTGTTTGCTTTGGACAAGCAATAAATCTGCTTTGTTACCGTGTTCTGCTCCTTATGTAAACCCCATGTCTGGGACATAAACATCAAAACAAAGCAGGTGATATCCCAGATGCTGTTCTGCTGCCTCAGGATGTGGAAAAGAAACATTCCACACTCCCATCCTTCCTTTGTAACAAGATTTCAGATACAGAGCAAACTCTGGTGGTTTGTTTCAAAATTGTTTTAAATTTACTTCTCTAAATATCATCAAGAAACAAAGTGCAGAACTGACAAGAAGTGAAAAACAAAGATAAAGCTCCAATTCTTGCTCAGGAAGCTGGAGGAAAACGAGAAAAATTCAAAGGATGTGGATAGAAGAGGAAAGAGGAACAAACTGCCTAAAAAGGTTGTGAAATTATGAACATTGGAGAAGGATAAAAACAGGTAAGACAAATGTCTATCAGCAGCAATGTCAATCCTGCACTGGAAAGGCTGGGAAATTAGAAAACTTCTGGAAATCCCTCCAAGACTTCCAGTTCCAGGCTCGAGAAGGTGAGGAGCAATAACCCCACGATGGTTTGGGCTGGAAGGGACCTTAAAGCTCATCCAGGAACAGGGATGTCCAGGGATGTCCCCACCCCTGCCATGGACAGGGACACCTTCCATAGTCCAGGATGCTCCAAGCCTTGTCCAACAGGCCTCGGACACTCCCAGCGAGAAAACACCACGATCGCAAGGAAAACACACAACTCATCCACCTATTCCCAGGGAAGGGGCACAAAGGGGAGGCCATTTGAAAGCAAAACAAAACCCCCGCGGCCAGGGGGGCAGCGCAGCCGCCGGGAGCCCCCGCAGCCCCGGGGCCGCCTCCCCGCACGGGCTGCGGGCGCACTGCGGGCCCGGGAGGGCGGAACGGAGCCCCGGCCGATGGGAAAGGCTGGGAATGGAGCTCTGGCTGATGGAAGGGCTGGGAATGGAGCCCTGACCGATGGGAAGGGCTGGGAATGGAGCCCTGGCTGATGGAAGGGCTGCGAACGGAGCCCCGGGCCCCGCCCGCGGAGGCCTCAGGCCGGGCCGCCCCTCCCAGGCCCCGCCAGGCCCGAACCGCGTCCCCCACCCCGGGCACAGCGCGGCCTCGGCCCCGCACGGCCCCGGGCGCTGCCCCCGCCCCACCGGCCCCTCCCGGCTCCGCCCGGGGCCCGGCCCGGCTCTCACCGCTCTGCTCGCCCAGGAAGACGAGCTTGAACTTCCTGAGCGGGTTCCCGAAGTCGCCGCCGCTGCCGGGCGCGGACATGGCGGCGCGGGGGGGCCGAGCGGGAGCCGTGATGGGGACAAGGAGACAGCGCCGAGCGCCCCGGTACCACCGCCCCGCGCGTCACCTCCGCCGCGTCACCGCCGGCCCGCCCCGCGGGGAGGCGCGGTGCCATGGCGACCGGAGGAGGGGACGCGGCCATGGCAACGCCGAGGGCGGGGGCCGTGCTGCCGGGGAGGGCGGTTGCTATGGCGACGGGAGGGGGTTGCCATGGCGATGGGGCGGGCGGTTGCCGCGGCGACCGGGAGGCCTCCGGGGCGAGGATGCTGCGGCTTGTAGCGGGATGTGCCCGGGCTGTAGCGGGGGTGTTGTAGTGGTACCGGGAGGCATCCGGCTGTAGTGTGGCTGGACCCTTCTGTACCGGGGATGGTTGTAGCAGAACCGGTCTGACTGTACCAGTACGGGTCTGACTGTACCAGAATGTGACCAGAAGTATGTATTCTATCACCATCTGTTAAAACCAAGTGGGACAGTGATCCTTTTCTCAGAGATATTCTCTGCTAATGGGCCATCTGTTAAACCAGGTGGGGCAGTCATCCTTATCTTCTCCACAACCCATCCTTCCTCCAGGGAGATATCGTCTGTTAATGGGCCACTGCATGACTGATAAAATTACATCATCCCATTGTGAGATGCTCCACCCAGGGGAGGAGCCAAACATTTCCTACCTAGATAAAAACTGAGATTTGAAACACCAAAACAGCCTTTTCCCACTGGATTCCAGAGGAAAACCAGACCCTTCTACATCATCACTGGACCTTTGGAGGAAAACTGCACCCTTCTCCAGGAGCACAGAACCACATCTGTCACTGCAGGAGGATACAGACACAATTTAACGGGACTGCTACCAACACCCAGACTGATGGGGTGTCAGGTTGTATTCTGACTCTGTCAGTCTTTTGAGTTTGTTCTCTATAATACTGTATTTCTATTTTAATTTTCCTAGTATAGAACTGTTATTCCTATTCCCATATCTTTGCCTGAGAGCCCTTAATTTTAAAATTATAATAATTTGGAAGGAGGGGGTTTAGATTCTCCATTTTAAAGAGAGGCTCCTGTCTTTCAAACCAAGACAACCGGGGTGGTTGTGCTGGGATTGGACCCAGCTGTAGCAGGATGTACCCAGCCATGCCTTAGATGGGCCCAGCTGTACCAGGGATGGGCCCCAGTCCTGCATCACCTCATCCCCCCCTCCACCAAGGCACCATCTGCTCCCCCCCAGCACAACACAGAGCCTGCACCGGGCCACCGGGTGGGTTTATTGGTATCAGTGTCACAGAGCTGTGCACAGCATGGGCAGGTGACAGCCACACTGGTGATGTGCTCAGCCAGGGCCATGGCACCCGTCCTGTCCGTGTCCTTGTGCTGGCACCCATGGGAACAGGGAGCACCGTGGGGCTTTCCAGTGTGGTGGTCCCAGGAGGAGCTGCCACAGCTCTCACCACCACTAACCAGGGCTTGGAGTGGGTGCCAGGAGCCTGGGGAGGAGGGGGGACCTATGGGGACTGTGAGGGGCTGAGGGGGCTGTGCCAGGTGTGGCATAGTGGGGACACTACAGGCAACTGCATCCCAGACTGGGGCATGGGGGGCCAGCAGCTTAGCTCTCCTCTTTCTCAGCTTCCTCCTTCTCATCTTCATCATCCTTCTCTCCCTTGAGCTTCTGGCGAGCAAATTCCTCGATGACAATGTCCTCATCACTGGAAGAGAGAGCAGAGCACAGTGAGCCCACAGGAAGAGGGGAAATCCCTGTTGAGCCCAAACCCTACTGCTAATAGGGACAGCACAGTGGTCACCTCGGCCCTGTCACCCCACTCAGGTCACTGTGAGGCACAGCCTGCTCCCAGCACACAAACCCAGGCTCCATCACTGCGAGCCTGCATGACCCAAGGAGCTAGGCCTGCAGCTTCTGGTGGGTTTTTTTACACAATATTTTGCATTTCCAAGGGAAAACAAGGAAAGGAAAACAAAGAGCTAAGTTACCTCCTTGAGAAAGGCGAGCAGCGAGTGAGAGCAAGGGAGAGCACCAGGTGAAAAGTAGGGGAGAAAACAGAAAAAGAGTCAGCAAAAGAGATTCCAAAAGCTTGGGAATGTGAAATGATTTGGTAAAACCTACATGGAGGCATGGTTGGAAATCTCCAAGAGATTTCCTCTTTGGAAGTTTAAATGTTCTCACTGAGCTGGGGAAGGGATGGCATGAAAGGGATAAGTGTGAAAGCCTGGAGCTGCAGCCTGGTTTTCCAGGCTCCAAATCCCAGTGCTCACATCCTGTTGCAGGGTCCAGATACAAAACCTTTGGCAGGACCATGGATGTTAGGAATGGATTTGGCACTGCAGCTTCCCAGAGGGAAGAAGCCCCAACTGTGGCTTCAGCTGGAATAAGTTTATTTGGGAGGAGAAGAAGCCTCTGGTGCTGGGGAATGTGGAGGAGCACAGGGATGTGACTTCCAGCAACCCAGGGATCTCTGTTTGGGGATCAAGACCATGGAGACATTTCATCCAGTGATGGCTCATGTGGCTGGGAGACACTGCCAGCTGCTTCTGAGGGACAGGGCAAGGCCTGGGCTTGCATCTGCTGTGTCTGCAGCAAGGAGAGTTGCCAAATAAGCCCTGGAAATTTGCAGAACACATCCCAATCTCAGGATTTGATCTCTCCTGTTGCCTCTGGGAGTAGCTGCTGTGACACAGGCTCAGGGCTTTGAGACCTGGATGGTTTAATCCAAGGATGTGACCTCAAGCTGGGATGTCACATCCATCTGTGATGGATCTGTGTGGTTTGTGTCCTAGAGGGAACATCTCTTTACCTTGGCTTAGCTGTATTCCAGTGATAAGCACAGGGAGAAAGGGATGGGAAGAGAAAAGATGTGCAGGTTAATACAGAAAGGACATTTCAACTGACAGCTCTCCTCAATGCCTGGGTGTTTTCCTGGAAAGAGGGACAACGGGGAGGACATCTCCCACCCTGCTCCAGGACACAGGGTGGGTTCAGCACAGCTGGACAGCTGTGCCCATCCCATGAGAAAACTGCTCCCACCCCACTCCAGGACAGCTGGACAGCTGTGCCCATCCCACAGAGGGCAGAGCAGGGCCCTTGGCACTGGGGCAGCTGCACCAGAGTTGTTTTCACCCTGAACCAGAAGTGCCTCTTCCCTGCTGATTTTTGGCAGCATCCCACACACAACTCACAGTCATCAGGCTTCGGGTGCATGAGGATGACGGGCATCTCCACCCCAACATCACTGGAAGGAAAAGCAGCTCTGTCAAAAATCCTGCCCAGCACAGCCCCACACTCAGCCCCACAGGCAGCTCCCCTTACCTGGCAGTGAGATCCCCCAGGATGCTGTGGCAGCAGGAGAGAAGGGACAGAAATGAGCCAAGGTAGAGGAAGGGAGGTGTTACACTGTGCTCTATACTTAGGTGAAAGATGGTTGATAATAGGGGTGGTGGGGTGGGGGTCAGAGAGCAGCCCAGTGACTCCAGGGGAGCAGGGCAGGGGTGAGGGGGTCCATGGTGATATTGCCCTCTCATTTCCCTGGGGTACACAATCCCCCAGCACAGCCTGAGCTGATGATCCCTGACTCCCATGTCCACAGAGCCTCACCCTCCTCGGGACACCACCAGGTTGACCTTCACTTTGTAGGACACCAGGATGCCCAGCACCTCCTTGTCCATGCCAGGTCTCAGGCTAGGAAAAAGGCAGAGGGGAACAGTGAGAGTGCAGTGCTGCCTGCAGACCCCAATCACTCCCCCCATGGCAGTCCCAGGGTTCCTTTATGTCCTGCAACATGTGGGGCGCTCTGGGGTTTCGAGGAGAGGAGAGGAGACTGGAACTGGGAAGTTACATCTCTCCTACAGGATGGAGAGGTGGCTCTGTGACAATGCCACAAAATCCCTACATTTTCCAGCTGGATGGGGTGGGCTCAGCAGCCCTTGGTGGGAGCCCAGAGCATCCTGAGCAGAGTGAAGTGGGGGAAGGTGTGGTGGGGAACAGGGGGAGCCCACACAGCTCTTACATGGTGGTGGAGGCCAGGTTGGTGTCCTCATGCTTGAGTTTGCCATCGAGAGCGAGGCCTCGCTTCTGGCGGTTCGCCGAGAGCAGGGGGGTCACCGAGTACGTTTTGGAGAAGGTGGAATTGGCAGCCACATTCTCACTGGAATGGTGGGAGAGAAGAGATCAGAGCCAGCCCCAGCCTGGGAGTGCTCAGCATCACTGTAGGCACCTGTGCAGGGCCAGCCCTGCCCTCCCCGTGCAGCTGCTGGGCCATTTCCTCCTTTCGTTCCCTCCTCTCTTTCCCCTCTACAACCACTTCTTTTTTCTCCCCGCCCGCCTTTCCTCCCTCCCTCCTCCTTCTCAGGGGAGCAGAGGCTGTGTCTGGTCTCAAAAATGCAAAGTAGGGAGATGAAGCAGTCTGGGAGCAGCTGTGCACCTTCCCCAGGGACCTTCCCAGCCACCACTGGCTTGTGCTGGTGGGAAGTTGTCCACGGCCATCTCTGTCCTCTGCTTCCTCTGCACCTGCTCTTCTAACCCAGAGATTTTTGCTGCTTGGTGTGAAACTGTCACATCTTCTCCCCCCATCACTCTCCCATCCTCCCCCTCATCTCTCTTCTTCCCTCTCAGAAATGCCACACCACCTTCAGCCCCTTGTCCCTTACTTTATCTCCTCGGTGCACACGGTCTTCGTGTATTTATCCAGGGAATACAGGACCACGTCTGTGATCTGATCCACTGGGAACAGACAAGGGGGAGCCGTGTTGGTGACATGGCAGGGGCTCACGGTCCCCATCTCTGGCAGTGATGGGTGCTGGGACATGTCCCTTCTGCCCCTCTCTCACCTGAGATCTTAATTTTTTTCACCACCTTGTTGGTGGTGTTGTTGATGTTGACAGACACATGGATGGGCTCTCCGTGGTAGTAGACCTGCAATGGGAAGAGGCTCAGTGATGTGACCAGAAATCTTTGTCCCCATCTCTGGGTGGGGGGACGGTGTCCCTGCTGACCTCCTTATCCAGGGAAGCTTCGAGGTGCAGGGGCTTGTCTGACATCATGAACTGCCGGGTGGTCTCGGCTCTTGGGGCCGGCCCCGTCAGCACCGGGGCGAACTGGACCTTGCGGATGATGAGGCGCACAGAGTTCCTGTGGGGACACAAGGTGGCACCCCCAGTGTCCCCCACGGCGTCAACAAAGCCTTCAAGGGGTCACACAGACTCTCTGGGCACATCACAGTGTCACCAGCCAAAGGGTGAATGTTTCACCTGGCTCTTAGGACGTGACACAGGGACCACTGCCCCAGTTTTGGGCAGAGTTCCCCATCTAAGCATGGCACAGGCTGACAGAAGGTCCTCAGCCTGACCCCTAAGCTGGTCACCCCAAAGAGATTCTGTGGTTTAGTTTTAGGGCCAAAAGGGGAGAAAGGGATCCCCTGAAATACCTCTTGTGAATCTTCTCCTCCAGATTTTCAGCACAAAATCCTTTGACCTCGAAGTCCACGCCACAGGCCTGGGGGAACATATGTGGTCACTGAGCAGGAGGGGCTTGGAGCTACCTGAGCTTTGGGCTCCTTTTCTTCCTTCCTTCCTCCACTGCATTCCCAGAGATCCTGGCACTGACTCCAGCCCTTCCTCCCTTCCCACTCCTCACCCCATGGGCCACGAGAATCAATTCTCATTTTTAGCACCCCACAACTCAACCCCCTGCCAGGGAAGACAGTCCAGGGGACACAGGCTGGGGACAGCAGCTCACCTTTCCCACATCATCTGGCCCAGGCTGGAGGGTGATGGAGCAGGGCAGGTTGGTGGCAATCTGGGCAGAGCAAGGAAAGAGAGAAAAAAGGGAATCAAGGGTGTGTTCAGAGCCTGGTGACACCATGGAGCTGCAGGGCTGGGAGGGGCTGAGCAGCCCCTACCTCGAAGGTGAAGGGGTAGGCGTTCTCCCCGAGCTTCTTCATCAGCTTCTCTTGCAGAGGAGTGAGGGTTTTGGGGGCCTGGTCTGGCACAGGGGGGTACAGCTGGGTGGTCAGCACGTAGATGTCCTTCCTGAAGGTCAGGCCGATCACATCGAGGTCATCGCGGCCGTAGCGGAAGGCGCAGGTCAGAGTCACGTACACTGAGCCAGGCAGGACAGGGGTGGAGGGAAGAGGGAGGGAAAGCACGGGGGGGATTAAAGAGGCAAGAAAAACTATTTCAAAAACTCTTCAGCAAAAATGAGACTTGTCAGGACCTCAGACACTAAACATAAACAGGATCCCTCACGTCCTTTGCTGCCGTGGCTCTGACAGACAAGGAACTGACACAGGGCAGCTTTAACCTGAGCACAGTCCCAGGTTACTGCTGAGCTTTGAGCTGGTTCCATCCCCTCTCCTCATGCTGTATTTCTGTATCAATACCTTTCCTGTCCTTCAGGTACTCCGGGTCGATCAGGCAGACACCATCTGCAAACAAGCAAAAGGAGAAGGACGGGTGAGCTCAGCTGCCTGGGAAGATCTTTGCTAAAACACAGCTTTTTAAACCCAAATAATCCACTTTGCAGCTGGAAGGTGACTGAGAAGAGCTGCTACCAAGGGGGATGGTGATGTCTCCTCCAGTGTCTCCACCAGCAGTGTGGCTGGGTTGTTTTGCAAAGGGATTTTCTCCCTTTCCCCACTATTTTTCCCGAGGGTATTTGTAGGAAAGCATGGCAGCTGCTCCTTCTGCTCTACCAGCAGCCCGTAACACTGGGACTGGTCTCCCCAGCCTCTCCTGCCTGTACTTCTCCCTCAGTGCTGGGCACAGCCCCACTCACCTACAGATTCCACTGAATCCACATTATCCACATAGTCTCTCTTCCCCAGGTAGAGGGAAAGCTGGAGGCAGCACACGGGCAAAGGGAGGAAGGAAACAAGTTAATATTTGCCATTGAATTGGCCCAAATGTTGAAGCCCTGAATTGTGTAGTGGGGTTTGTCACCAGGCTGGATCAGAATCACCTTTAAGGGGTTATATCAGGGTATTTTTTAGTTTCTGTTTTGAAAAGCCAGTCCTGCAGGGGCATCGTGACAGGTCCAGGACTAAATCTGATTTAAAAGACAGATCCTGCAGGCAGATCCAGCCTGGAGTGATCCCAGCACAGCCTAAACCTTAGGCTGGCCACAATGGGACAAAACACATGAGGGGACAGAGCGAGAGGCTCACCTTGCTGTTGGGGCTGGTCTTCTTGAAAACCCTGTGGAGAAAACAGAGACAGATGTTTGGGAATGCCTTGGACCAGGCTGGATGGGGCACAGGGAGATGATGGGCTGCCCCACAAACGTGGTGCATCACCAAGAGCTATGCCAGGGTGTCCTGTCCCTGGGGAATTCTATGTCCTGCAAATTCAGGGCCAAACCCACCCTGTGTAGCTACCCCAGATGTGCTCCTGAGCTCAGGGTGACCATGGAGCAGTGGATTTCGTGTCTTAAGTGAGAAAGACAAACAGAGAGCCTCATGACAGCTCCATGGGAGCTCACATTCCAGCCCCTGGGGTCTCACTTTTCCCCTCTGCTCCTACCCGGCAGTGCCCTCCTCCATCCCAATTCCAGATAAATAACTCAATAAAGATACTCACTTTGATCCATCTGCCATTTTAAGTCAGTGCAGGAATCTCCAGGTGGAAATCTGTGGGGGAAAACACTAGATGAGATGCTGGCGAAGAAGCAACTCCAGGCATGGCCACCATCCAATATCCTGCACATCCCAACAAACTGCAGAGCCCTCAGGGTATGGTGATGCCACCTTTGCAGAGCTCAGGAGCTCCAGGTTTGGCTTTGGGCAGCACGTGGGAGCTGAGCCAGCTCCTTGTTCCCAGTCAAAAAGGTGATGAAGTGGGAGAAAAAAAGGGAGAGTGTTCCTCCAGAAAAGAGGAAGCACAGAGGTGATTCCCAATGGAGCAGGTTCAAGACTGGGAAAGGCAAGAAAATGAACAAAAGGTCTTATAGAGTCTTAATTGTAATAGTTTTTCCTGTCTGTTGGAAATTTGCTGTCATGGCTCAGTGGTAGGAATGGGCTTGTTTCGTCCTGTCACTCACAGGGAGGTGAGGAAAACACAGGGAGAAAGGCCAAGAGAAGTTCAACTGCCTCATGGAAAGAGGAGTCTCAGGGCACAGGGTCCCTCCATTTCCATCTCTTTGTACTGGGAGTGGGGCTGGAGCTGCCCAGCTCTGCCCAAGCTCCACTGGCTCAAGCCTGTGTCCAGGAGCCTGTAAAGATCCCACTGATCACCAGCTGATTCTCTGGGATATTAAATGGGATGAGCTCAGCCTCTTAAGGAAGAGACAGCTCTGACATGAGCTCAGCTTAAGCCCAGGCAGGATTTTAAGCCCCAGGGGCACGTGGACAGAGTTACCTCTGAACATAACCTCAGGGAAGCTGGTGAGAGAAAAGAAATGGCCATGGGGGTGAGGGGATGATTCTCTTCCCCACAAGAAGACAAGAATAGTCCCAAGCTCAGGATCTTTGAGGTCCTTGAGTGCTGTGGGATGTGAAGTTTGGGAATCTTAACAGGGTGAGACGGTGCAAAGGGAGTGGGAACAGAGTTTGGCTCCCTCCAGACCCCGGGAACTGAGGATGAGGCAAGGAAAGGTGGAGGGGAGAAGAGCTGAATTCCTGCTCTGCATCTCCCAAGCCCCAAAGAGGGGACTTGGACCCTCCCTAGCTTGGCTCAGCTCTCCCACGCCACTCCCTAACCTCTCCACCACGTCCTTTGGCCACACTGGAATCCTTTTCATCCACATTTTACCCATTTTTGAACTGTAAACCACTGTCCTTCCAGGCACAACCCAGCACCAGTGTCACTCCCCAATTTTCCAAACCCTCAGAACCTCAAAGCCCTGGCAGGGCCCAGGCAGCAGAGCAGGCAGCACTCACCTGGCAGCTGGACAGACAGACAGACAGACAGACGTTCTCCTCTTCCTCTCCCAGCACGTCCCAGTGCCACCCAGTCACTACAGCCTGCTCCCAGTCCTGCAGCTTCTTATATCCCCCCTGGCTGTCCCTCCCCTGGCATCTGATCTCGCCCACTCAGCCTTGGCTGGGGCTGCAGGGGGGGTGTGTCTGTGTGAGTGATCCTGGAGAGGGACTTGGGGGAGAATCCTATTAGTTGATTAATTGGGGAGACGCTTCATGAGTAAGAGTGGGCTATAAATACATCTCTTGCTGGAGCCCTGGGAAAGCAGCTTAGAGGGATTGGCAAAGCAGGCTTAGGAGCAAGGTGATGGTAATTGAGGTGGAAGCTCTGCTCCTGGTAGGAAGGAAGGGCTGTGGATTCCCATAGGGGCTCTCTGCAGCTGCTCCCATGGGTGAAGCCACAGAGCAGCTTCTGAGACCCTTCCAAGACAAGGCCCAGCCCTGCAGAGGGATCCAGGAGCTTTGAGCAACAGATGGGGAGATGGAGAGATGGGGAGATGGGGACATGGACTGGGCCTGGGGTTGGATGGAGATGGCAGAGAAGGAAACCAGCCTGGTGTTCTCCCTCCCTCACCTTCCTGGCTGGATAACAGAAGGATGGAGGCACAAGCAGCTTCCTGCATGGTCAATGTGCCCATGTGTTTGGTCACACAGGACTGACCTGACATGGCCCAGAGCACACAGAACATCCTCCTCATGGGGACACTGCTGTACAAGACGATGGGATGAAGGCAGGATTCACCCTCCCTGAACCAAGAGGGAAGGACCAGCCACCCCTGGAGGGTGGGACACAGAGCTGCCACTGTCCCCAGCACAGCCTGCTCAGCCCAGCATCATTTCATAACTCCCAGGCTGGCCTCACCTGACCCGATTAGCACATCATTAACTCCAGGTTTGCTGCAGCAAAGAGGAGACTGTGGGAAGCCCAGAGTGGCTCCATGTTATGGCTGCCAGACAAGCAGAATTCCCACTGCAACCCTGTCCTGGCCACAGCCATTGTGTGGGATACCCTCCCATGGGAATGACTGTGGGACTGGCTCTAGAGATGGGGCACAAGGACAGCCCAGGCAAGCTACAAACTGCTCCAGCAACGCCCCACTCATCCTCCTCACCTCCACCACCACTCAAGCCCTTCCTTTGGGGCTGCTCTTGATTCTGGCTCAACCCCCAGAGCTGAGTAGTGGGATCAGGATATCCCTGTAGGAGCTGTGCCTCCTGCCAGGACCCTGCATCAGCTCAACAACATTTTATCACCTGGGTACCAACTCTTCCCAAACGCAGCTCACCTGTTTCCCCATGGCCACTGGGACCCGCCATGCCATGTCATGCCATGCCATGCCATGCCATGCCATGTCCAGCAGCCCCACTGCCAGGGCTTTAGGTGCCAGCACACGTTCCCCAGGGCTGAGACTTGTGATCTCTTTAATTGCACACAGGAGAGCTGCTTATGCTCCAGATTAACAGGCGCTATTTCTGCCACAGTCATGGGGACACGTGAACTGTGACCTTCACACTGGCGGGTGAAAGAGGAGGAGGAGGAGGCAGCCCCACTTGGACATCCTCAGCCTGGCCAGGGTGAGGCACTGTGCCTGGGGCAGCTAATCCTGAGTTTTGTCTGTGGCTCTTCGTTAGGCTCTTAACGAGAGCCCTGTGACCAGGGCCACTCACTGGCCCTGCAGGGTCTGCACAGTGTGGTGAGATGGAGAGCAGGACTCATCTTGGGTCCCTTCAGCTCAGCCTAATCCCAGCTGGGTGAATTCAGCCTTGCCCAAGTTGGGGAGCAGATAATTCCCCTCCCCAAAACAGTGGGGAGATGGACAGAGCCCACATCCCTTCCCACACTCACACTGTGCTCCAAACCAAGCACCACGGAAGGAAGCAGAGCTCAAAATAATAGAGAAACGAAAGAGGCTTTCTTCCTTTTTCCTGTGTAATGAATGACCAGAGGTTCCTCTCATCTCCTCATCCCACCATCCCTCCAGGTACATGCACTTTGTAAAGGACAGCTCAAACAGCCACTTCCAGAGGAGCAGGACACTGGTGGAGAGTGGTGGGGCCTGGCTTCATCCCTCTGTCCCAATGGACAGTGCCCTGGAGCATCCTGCCTTCCCAAGGAAGGACCATGGGGCTTCCTGCATCCACAGGCTCTGCAGGGAGGCTTAGTGCAGCCAGAGCCCCCATCAGCCTGGCCCTGGTGAACCCACATTGCCCTCCCAAGCTCACCTGTGCCCCGGTGCCAGCAGAGCTTCCAGGTGCCTTTGGCACAATCCCAGCTCCGCCTCTGGCACTATACACCACAGCCACCTTACATAAACACTCACAGCAGGCACTGCTGATTTCCCAAAGCCCCTCAGAGCTCCAGACCTTCCTCTCCTGATCCGGATTAAGCGGCGTGGATGGCATTAATCTGGAGACAGGCACCTCCACGCGTGCCAGGAATTACTGCCGTGCTGTTAAGTAATGGCAGGGAGCAGCACTGGTGCGACTGGGGCTCCAGCAGGATAGGTGTCCCCAGCCCCACACCATCCTGCAACCTCCATGTGTCCCCACAGAAGGTGCTGGGTGGAGTTGCACCCTCTGCTGTGTGACCAGAACACCAGCTCAAAATTAACTGGTTGGCCCAACTTCTCACTGGCCTGGCTACAGGTTCCTGTCGAGGCTGGGAACCCAGGAGGAAGCAGGGGGTTTTGACACATCTGTGCTGGAAGGCTGCGGCAGGAGGGTGGGGAGGAGCAGACCCTCAAGGCTGGCCCAGGGCTGCAGGGATGTGCAGTGGTGCCAAGGCTGGGCATCTGTCAGGAGTGTGGCTTGGCACAGCTTTCTATCCTCATCCTCATCCTCATCCTCATCCTCATCCTCATCCTCATCCTCATCCTCATCCTCCTCCAGCAGGAATCTGCTTGCCCATCTATCCCTTGAGCTGCCCTGGAGCTGCCAGGTACTTGGACAGCAGACGGTGGCTGCTGCTCATCTGTAATTAATTGCTGCTAAATCACCCTCCTGGCAGCTCGAGCCACCACACGCATGTGGACCCGCTCCCTCCCTGCCACGAGGTTAAAACCCCTGGGGCTGCACCCAGGAGCTGCGGTGCTGTCCTTACCTTGTCCTGCTGGGAAAAGTCTCCCTCCTTCCCACCCCTTCCCGGGAGCCCCTGAACCCAAATTCCCTCCCACCTGCAGGCCGGGCACACAAAGGTGAGGTGACATGAGTGCCACTGTGCCCGCAGCAGCTCCGTCTCTCTCTGCCAAGGGCAGAGCGGGCAGCACATCCCCAGGAGTGGGCTCAAACCTTGCCCCAAACATGTTTCGGGGGCTTTCTGCCATCCTGCATCACCTGCAGCGCCTTATCCCAGGGCTCTGCGCATCCCTCATCCCCGAGGAGGATGTGGAGGGAGCAGGGGAAGGCAGAGCTCGCTGCGGGAGTGTCCCCGCTGTCCCTGCCGTGCCGGGGCCGCTGCTTTGCCCCGGCAGCGGGGCTGAAGGAGGAGCGAGGAGGCCGCTCCGGGGGCTGGCGGGGCGCTCAGAAGGAGGAAGAGCGCGGCTGCAGCGGTGCCGAGAGAGCAGCGCAAGCAGCACCGAGAGGGACGGGCCGGGGGCATCGCTGTGGGCACTGAGTGACCCCGAGCTGCCGCCCCGATGGGCAACGTGCAGGGCAGGGGGCCGGTGTGACCCACCGGGGGAAGCCCAGCAGCAT